CTGTAACTGGAAAGCAAACTAGACTGTGCAAGCTCTCTGCCTCATTTGTTGGCTCAACAGGAACTCTGTCTTCTTCTTTAGGTGCAGGTGTGGGACACAGCTGGCCAGGAGAGGTTCCGGAAGAGCATGGTAGAGCACTACTACCGCAATGTGCATGCCGTCGTGTTTGTCTATGATGTCACCAAGATGGCGTCCTTCCTCAACCTAAAGACCTGGATTGAGGAGTGCAACGGCCACGCCGTCCCTGCACTTGTCCCAAAGGTGCTTGTTGGAAACAAGTGTGACTTGCGAGATCAGATCCAGGTGCCATCCAGTTTGGCCTTGAAGTTTGCCGACGCTCACAATATGCTTTTATTTGAAACCTCGGCCAAGGACCCCAAAGAGAGCCAGAACGTGGAGTCTATTTTCATGTGCCTGGCTTGTCGGCTGAAGGCCCAGAAGTCTCTGCTTTATCGGGACATGGAGAGACAGCAAGGGAGGGCCCAGAAAACGCAGCTCTTGTCAGAGGCTAGTGGCAAAAATTCCTGTCCTTGCTGAACTCCTTGCGGAGGTCTCCACTCCTGACCGTTTAATGAAGTGGGGCAGGTGGTTTTGTGCCTGCACAAACTGAACAGAGCCCTGCTGGTCTCAATCTAAGATAATGTTAAGATAATAAAAATTTGTATGGCTCACAACTGGTTTGGGTGTAACTTTTATCCTTGCAGGTTTGCATTTTGAGGCAAGCTGGGAAGGAGCGGTTATCCAACATTCTCAGCTGTTTGGTTGTTCCAGTCTCCCTGACTGGATTAACCACACTGCTTACTACATCATAGAGTAGAGTCCACTGGCCACATTCAGTGATCTCAATGTTGGTAGAGGGCAAAACACCCCCTTAAATTTTGCAGAAGTATGGGATTGAAAATGGTGAATCTTTGTTTTAACAACATAAGAAATCAATGGCCAGCTTGCCACTGCAGGGGATATGTATGACCTGCCACTTGGAATCAATGGCCAGCTTGCCACTGCAGGGGAACTTAGGATACGTATGACCTGCCACTTGAACCAGAATGAAAAGTGGAGTATTGTCGGTATTCCAGATGGTTCAAGGGGCAACACAGTATAACATAGATAGCTGGTAGTACCAGATACTCCAAAATTATTTACATCATCTTATAAAGACTAAAAGGTTGCCCTTTATTAATAAACAGTGGGAACAACTTCTCAGTGCTATTACCCGGAATGATACCAGGCAGTTTTGGGCCATTATTAATGGTGCTACTCGTTCTGAGATACCCTTTATATCAGCTATTATGCCTGAAACATGATTCCAATACTTTTCTGATTTATTTTATGAGGATTCTTTCAAAGGAATGCAATTGGTTTATTCTCCCCTGGATGGTCTCCTGGAGTGGCCTCCTGTTACTCCGGAGGAAATAACACCTCTTATTGATCAATTAAAATTAGGCAAAGCTCCTAGCCCAGATGTGATAATCCCTGAGGTATTGAAAGCTGACCCAGAGTGGTGGGCCTCTCCGCTAGCTGCTCTTTTCACCATGGTAAATAAGACTGGTCAGATGCCAGCAGCTTGGAACATAGATGGCTGGTCTTTGTGTGTGAACACAGATGGTAAGGGAAGTGTTCGCTTATCAGGAACATGGATTCAGCAATGTAAGGGCTAGGGTACACTTTAACAACTCCCCTGGTTATCTGGCCTTTTAAACCACCCACGTCAGCTTACTGACAAATGCAACCTGTAGATTGTATGTTAACAGTTTCCTGGAGGAGCCGTTGCCCTGTTACTCTAGTAAAGTATGGGGAGGGGAGGGGAGGGAGCCGCCCACTGCAATGAACATATTTTGAGGCATGAAGCTGCCAGTATATTAGATGTTCCTCATCTGGAGAGTGAGGTTGCAATGCAATTTGGAGTGTCCTGCTCAAGCACCAAACTCCCTTGGAGCACCTCTGAGAAGAGAATAATGTGGATTGGATTAATAATATGGTTCCTGTTCTCACTGGAGTCAACTGAAGGGAGGGGAGACATGAGCGTAGGAAGGCACCATGTCATTTAGCAGCTTAACATGAACCTTTCCACAGAGGTCACTGGAACTGTGCAGGGAGTCAGCCCTGGGGATTTGTCTCCCCTTTTGAAAGATGAATTTGCTAGCAGGCAACAGGGTTACTGAAGTGTGTTGCACAAGGCCAGCTTGGCTCTTCCAGATAAGGTTTCCTGCCGACCTGAGGACAACTGGAACCATCTCACACATTTGGAGGTTGTGGTCAGTTGCTCCTTGCCCTACATTACTCTTGCTGTTATGGAGGGATTCTGGATTCAGTTTCTGCGGGGGTCATTTCATAGAAAAAGAGGTGCAGGAGCTCATTAGCATGACTTATTTGCACATGCCATACCCCCTGACATCACCGGAAGCGTGTCAGAAGGCAACAACCACCTCTCAGGCTCCACTGGACTGTTTTGGATTGCTAGCTATTGGGGGGGGGGGGAAGGGGAGATTTGTCCTCACACAGAGGAGGGAGAGCTTGTACCTGAATAAAACTTGGTCTTAAAGGTGCCACTGGACTGTTTTGGGTTAGGGGGAGCTCTGCAACTTACCTGGCTGCTTCTTGCTCTGACTGAGGGCTGCTGGGAGCA